GTTTTTTTTTTATTTGCAAAAAACCGTTTTTTTTACTTTACGAATTTTTTAGGTTAAGTTCGCCATTCGTGAGAAGGTAGACAAAAACTCTATCTTTCTTAGAATTTTTTTTCCTACACGATCATATTTTTTGTTTGCTGTTAAAAATTTTGGGAAATTTAACATTGGGCCGTTACCTATTGATTGGACTACTAGAAGGAGCGCTCCGAACACCTTAATCGAACAAACCTACTGTGTGCAGCCGCTGTAGTGTGTGTGTGTGGGGCCTGTTGTTGAATTACTTAAGTACATGTTAGTAAAAGTAAGTTATTTGTTGTAAATATTGTAATAAGTACTATTTACTATTTTTTTGTGTAGTCAAGTCTACTATGAATCCAACGTGGGTCGGATTCGCATCCATGAAAAATTATATCTAGTGTAAATTTACGAAACAATTTTTACCGTGCACGATTGGATGATCCTTATATCGATGAGACAAATTAGACGTTTACTTATGTCGTAAGTAAAGTTTGTTTTGTTTTCAGCGCATCTCCCCGTGTCGGCCCGTATGATTGTTATACTTCAGTCGCTGCACTATCGTTACATAGTATAGACGGAGATATTATCTCTGGGATAGATACTCCCTTATATGCATGAGGGCATGGGCAGTTGGGCACGTTTGACACAATGGGCAGATGATGGGCACGCATACGATAACAACAGCAACAACAATTAGAAATCGTGCTCCAGCAGATTGTTGTATTGTTTGTGAGTGTGTTTTGCTGCTTCGTGCGCGCGAAGCGTGGTTGTCCTTACATGTCCACGAGGACCGCTACAGCAGTAGTAGCAGCAAAACAGGGCACGGCCGGATTCCCGACGTCGAGTCCGTGGCCTCGAAGTGACACCCTCGTCGGGGTCAACCGGCCTCCCTTGGAGAGAGCGAGCCACTTTATCGGAACATCACCATAGCAGTTGTATGTACACTCATAGTCCGCAGTGTCTGCACCGCTAAAGAACTCGCTCAGCCACCGCCACCCTTGAGTTGAAAAACATGGCAGCGGAGGAGATCGTTGCCGAGGTGCGCAACACCCTCTGGGGCAATGCCGTCAAGGAGGAAGTGTTTCGCCGCTGGGCTCAAGGTGAGTACAAATCAAACGCCGATGCTTTTCTTTTTCTTCATCGGGCTTGGAGGTTGGCGCCGACTACCTTCATGTACTTGATGTTACTGTTGATTACTCACTGGCTTTTCTTCTCTCACCTTGTAGGCTTTTACTTCAGTCCGGACGAGCCTTCGGCCCTCATCCAAGACAATGGCGGTCCCTGTGCCGTCATAGCTCCCCTCCAAGCGTTCATCCTGAAGCAGCTGCTGCTTGAATTGGCGGACATGGTGACCTGGCGTGACGTTACGCCCGAGAGCTGCGATCAGCTTCTCGTCAGAGCCATGACGGAGATCCTGGCTCAAGCCGCGGATCCTCAGGAAACCAAGTACTCGGTCCTGCTCGTTGACAAATCAACCAGAAGTTCTGATGACAGTGGAAGTAGTCTGCCCAATGGAGAAGTGCCTGTCGACCAAAAAAGTGAGTCGATGGATGCGGAGACTACTGCTCAGCCGGTCTTGGATTCCAAAACCTTTCACTCGCTTTTGAGGTAAGTAGTATACCCTGGGTTATTTTATACCTCTTTACAGTGCTACAGCCATTTTTTTCGCATAATTTCATGGATGACAATTTGTTTGCAGGATTCACACGTTGGGTACTGTTGAGGAAGTTGAAAAATTTTTAACTGATAATATAAGTATGTTTAAGGGACAGTTTGGCGTATTGCTACTACTGTATTCAGTCATATGTACAAAAGGAATAGCCCAGATGCGGCTGGAAATATCAGATTTAACTGACCCCTTGATTCACTCGACCTTTGGATATGGGAGTCAAAGTTTGATTAACTTGATGCTTAGTGGACGGGCTGTGAGCAATGTGTGGGATCACGACCAAGACGTTGGAGGACTCAGTAAGACAGTAGCTTATCAAAGTATTAAAAAATGATCTTCTAGATAAAGTCAATTAAAAAGTGTTATATCTTGTCACACAGAATTAAAAGGTATTGAAAAACAAAACGAGGTTGGTTTTTTAACGCTATTGGAAACCTTAAGGTACATTGAAGTTGGTTCGTTTCTCAAGTCACCTTCGTATCCAGTTTGGGTACTTGGTTCAGAAACGCATTTGACAGTTTTGTTCTCGGCGGAAAAAAAATTAGTAAGTGCTGAAACGCGCAGTGAACAAGCTAAACGAGTTTTCAAAAAATACGACAACGATGGGAATAATTTCATTCCAACGGACTCGCTCCAAAATGTTCTGGCTGAACTCGATTTGTTTTCCGATACTGAATAGTGAGTATTAGATTTTTATTTTAAATTAAATAAACTATTAATAAATTTTTTTTTTTATCATTCAATAAAAATTTACAGTGTTGATATAATAAAGAAAAAGCTCGACAGGCACAATGATGGCATAATTCTACTTAATAATTTTATGTATGAATTTTTCCCGGAAGACCCTAGAACACTACCAGATACATTTGTGCTACACCATTACAACGGATTACCGAGGAGTAATCCTGATAACAAAGTAAAATATCACAGAGGCCAAGCCATTTTACTTGAAAGTGCAGTAAATTCTTTCGCCGATAATAATTCTATGTTGACGGTTTTGCAAACCAAATGGCCAAGTATTGAAATTCAGTGGGAGTCAAATCAAGAGCCCAGTATAAATTAATATGTACAAAAATGATTACTTAGTGCATTTAAATAACTGGCAAATTAACCGGCTTAGTCGAGCAAAGTATGAGCTCGTCCGGGCTGTCGGAGACTGATGTAAAGAAAATATTGATATGGATGCTGATGTATATCATTGCTGGCCTTAACAAATCTCAGACCTTAATCCAAAGATTTCGGTAAAATATTTTGGGACTTGAGATTTTAGAAAACTTGAATTTTATGCTAAAAATCAATCTCTTTTAAGTTTCGCAAACATGTATCAAGAGATTTTTGTTTACATTCTTTTGGCAACATAATAAGTTATTCTTGAACAGTAGTAGTTTTGTAGCTTTGTCGAAATAAAAATTGTGTAGCTTTATTGATATAAAACTACAATGAACTATTTGCGCAAAGTATTGTTTAAAAAATATAAGCTACTACCCCACAAAATGTTGAATATGTACAAAAAACTGTATGATAGCTAAAATTTGTTCAATGATAGTTTTATTTATAGTTTGCATGATTTCAGAATATATTTTTTATTTTTGAATGTTGAATTCGACAGATATTTTTATCATAACCGGTTTATAAATATTAAGAAAGTGTGAAAATTTTACCTTTTAGTTGTTACTACTTGACATAAAATTAGCAATTGTTCAGGATATTACTATAAATTGACTTTGGTAAAGTTGTTCGTTTTAAGAGTTGGTTCGTTTATTAACATTGTAAGTTTTTATAAAATGATAATGACTCTTTGTTTTATGAAAAATATTTTCATCTATGTAGATAATTCAACTTAATTTAGATGGAAACAAAATTAAAAATTAACTCGTAAAATGACAATCTTTACATTTTCTTTAAAATAAATCATTGCGATTTATTCGTTATCAAATTATTTGGTATTTTGAAATCTCGCATCGACTACGTTGTATAAGGATCATAAACTTGTAATTAAAATAATAAAAATTCAGTTACCTAATTATTCATAATAAAATAATTTTTTATAAAAAATAAAAATTTTTAAGTCTTCAACCTTTCGACACAAAATTTATAAATATTTTATTTACAACTTATAGATAGTGCCAGTCTTTGAAGTGTCAAATGACGATATAATTTTTATTTTTAATTTAAAACTTTTTTTGCAGCGTCTGTTAAAGGGAATCTGTGATTAGGTGTGCATGTGGAATTCCAATCATCTGTATTTAAGGAAAACACCATTGCACCTTTAAAACCATTATATTTAATCCACGTTGTCTGAAAAGTTATAATTAAATTGTAGAAATTTTTTTTGTATACAAGTAAAAAAGTTGATAAAACAAATTGTTGGTCACCTTATAAGTTACGCTTGATATGTCATCGTATGAAATCCATTCACTGTTTTTGTACGTATAAGGTACTTGACTATCTTTTACAAAAATTCTTACTGCTCCATTTTTTAAAAAATCACATACATCTGGATACGTAACAAATCCTAAAACTCCCGTGTCTCCATAGCCACTAGCTGGTGCTTTTAATTGATGATTTTGATGATTGTATAATTTATAAGAATGACCAAACAACGGAATTCCCACGACTATTTTTTCACGAGGCATCCCTTGGAGAACCCAGTAATTAGCCGAAAAATTTATATTTAACGAAGTCAAGTAGCCAGTTTCCAGAGATCGCGAGTATAGCGGGGAATTCAAGTCAGTGACCGGATAGTACCACACATAAAAGTGGTAGTCGTACGACATGAGATTTATAAAGTCAATGTTTCTAAAAATAATTAGATTCGATGGGATTCTTAATTTTGGCTGCATAATAAGAATTTTTATATCAAACTTACTTTGCCAATGAAGGAACCTCGTAGCTCTGGTCGATAATAGCTTGTGGAGCTGCCACAGCAGCACTCAAAAGAAGCTTTCTGCCACTGAGGTCGAACTCTTGCCGCAATTCATGCACTAGTTGTGCAAAATGACTTTTTTGCCGACCAGGTGCATTAGTCCACGCGGGGAATTCCCAATCCAAATCGATGCCATCCAAATTCAAAGATTTTGTAATATTTAATACTGATTTGACAAAACTACAAAGGGACACACGTTTAGCATTTGAATCGAATTTTTCGTTCAATCAGACTTATCAAATAATAATGTCAAGGAACTCACGATTTTCTGTTTTCATAGTTTTCCACCATATCTGGAAAGCCTGCTTCGTTGCTAGCACCTCCAATACTGACCATAACTTTGAGCTTTGGTGCATTTTCCTTTAGTTTAACAACTTTTTTGTAAACATCCAAGTTTGGACCCAAGTCAATTGTATTATTTATCACCGAGGCAAAACCAACAATGATATGAGTGCACAGGTGAGGATCAATATTGCTGGGTTGCAGTTTACTGTAATCCGAGTCGTTGACTTTTGTGTAGTAGCATACTAAAAAATACCTACAAGATAGTACTTGCAATTACAAAGACTGTTTATAAGCTGAGATAAGTAGTGTATATAGATAAACAACTCACTCATCAATGGGTTTTACAGAGGATTTAGAAGCCCTGACGCGAGTGGCGTTGTGATTCCAAATCCAATGCATCCACGAAGGCACTTTGACATTACTGACGAGTTCTTCCTCAGCTATGGCAGTTTGGAAGAAATTGTAGGCCAGAAAGCCAATGGATATAAAACCGAGGATGAATATGATGACCACGATAATGATGTTGTAGCAGGAAAACCTGGGTATTTAAAAATGCATCAGCATATTGGGAATTTCTTCGTGCACTCTTAATTTGGACTCACTTTTGTTTTCCAGCGAGAAGCGTGTAGTCAGCCTTTTGAACCATTGATAAGAAACTTGGTAGAGAATTGTCAGGTCTAAGTGTACTGGAGCAACTTTATAATTAATAATATATTTTCATTGTTTTTGTGTGCACACCACCACACCCGGGCGTGAGATCACACCATAGACCACAGCAGCGAGCGTTTCAAAATCCATTTGCCATGTAAATGGCAACGCAGCTGTCACCAGAACGTCAAGAGTTCGTTATCTAGTTATCTACGGTATCTTTATCTTTTTTTACCGCACAAAGTCTCAACTTTCGCCATTGTTGGAAATCAGCTGTGTTTTTGTTGACATTCTTCAGTGAGTCAAGTTAAGTGTTTTTTACTTATTTATTTTTTTGGTTTGAGTTTGAAATAGTGAAGTAAAAGTATAAACATCGAGTAAAATTTATTATTAAAAAATGCCCTGCTGTTCGGTTCAATTGTGTAGAAATAATAATATGAACACGAAAAATACCGGCATTCGTTATTTTCGATTTCCAAAAGACGAACATTTACTTGAAGAGTGGAAAATCTTTTGTAACAAAGATAATATAAATCTCAAAAACGGTAATTAATTAATGATATAAATGGTTACATTGACAATACATAATTAACAAAAGTTTAAGTTTGTCTTGAAATTAATAAATGAACACATTTTTCTCTCAGCTCGAGTTTGTTCCATACACTTTACACAAAGTTGTTTTCAAAGAAAACCTGAACACCTTATTGTTCCTGGGGATAAAAATATTTATGTATTGCGCAAAGACGCCAAGCCAACCGAAAAACCAATATTTCAAGATGAAAGGTACTGATATTGTTAATTGTTTAATTAAAAACTAAGCTCGTATTCTAAGTGTACGGTATTCACAAATTAATTTGTAATTTGTACGTAGAAAGAGGAAAATCACTAAAAATGTCGTCAAACAAAAAGAATTGAGCCCCTTGAAATCTCAGCAAATCGAGAACGTTCCTATTACTTGTTTGGATCTGAGAGATCTGAACAAAGATGAATCATTAAGAAGTATGCATTGTCCAACTGTAGAAGATCTAAGGTAATTTAAATATATTACTTTGTTTGTTTCTTTCATGAAAAATGTTCAACAAACGATGGTCCCACTTACAATTGAGATGATAATGAAATGTACGGGAAAGCATTGGAGTAACAAATGTTACATCTATATAAAAAAAAAAAAAAAACACTTTGTTAAATACGTTTACATTTATTTATTCAATAATGAAAGCTATCAGATTTATTCCATTCAAAGCAACATATAAATAAAATCGTATGAATAATCAATTGGATTTATTTTTGTAAAGTTGAAATTGTTGTAAAGTTAATATTTTTATAGGGACGACCAACCTCTCGAAAAGAATCAAGTAACAAACAGCTCCTTGACGATATTAAACCAACAGTTACAACAGACAATTACAAAATTGAATGAACAGTTGGTCAAACAAAAACGAACAGAAGAAAGAAGAGTAAAAAGAAAAGTTCAAAAAATGGTTCACAAAATCTTAAAACCGGCCTTCACCGAAGGACAAATTAAAAAATTACTTTATCGACAAAGAAAAAACGTAAAATGGAATTTAAACGACTTATCAGCAGCACTCACCTTAAGGAACGTCTCGCCTAAAGCTTACGGATATTTAAAAATAAAAAATATGCCTTTGCCAGCGTTATCTACTCTGAGGCGGTTTCAAAAGTTAACTCATCGTTTCTCAGTCGACAAAAGTGTTGAAACCGATACTCTGCCAACCAACGTTTCAGATCACCCTAGTTCTTGATCAACACTGGAACTATTTGTTTTCAGAAAAAATAAATACAGATACTTATGAAACCTAAGTGAAGCGACCATCAAAGTATAACAATGTAATCATGGATTTCATGAATAGTGATAATTAATTATGAATACCTAAATAATGATAGAACTAATAACTTCACTTTTAATTGGAATTTGATAATTTTTATAAAAGTATCTCTGATAATTAAAAAAAAATCAGACCTTTTTGTTGATTTTATTTTTACATTCAGGTGTAATTATAGCTTATACTGTCGACTCAGTTTTTAATCCATAACTTTTTTTGGGGTCATCGATCCAGACTGACTTTGTTCATCTACAATTTTTCCTATTCATTACTTACCGATTTGCAAAAAGACCAATCATATTTAAATCGCCTGTAATGTGGAAAAATGGGTATGTAATAATTTTTTAAACATAAACATAAGACAACAGCTTGAAATTACGTTTTTCACAAAAATTCCACATAAAATAATATATTGAAAATGACAAGTCAATGAAGCATAGATGTGAAAATAAAGGGGACATTGATGCAGAAATAGCAGTACTCTTGTATAGATTTAGTTTTATGAACAAAACCAAATATACAATTGTGGAATGAGTCTGCTATCATAAATTCAAAAAAAATTTTTTTTATGCTTAATAGAGCTGAAAATTTCCAATAGTGTACGTGAATGTAAAATAATTAAAATGTCATTTAATGTGGTGACTCAATTGTAACTTATATCTTTAATAATTAATAGCGTTTCCGGAATGGAAATCCTCGAAACAGATAAACTTTTACAATTTTCGTATATTTTTTATTAGTAGAATGTACGCTACTATTGCCACACAGGAGATATTTCAAAAAAATGAATTATAAACAAATTTTTTTTCTAACGATAACAAAGATAAAAAAGCCATCCAAGTTTTCAAAAAATTATTTTTAAGTACCTGTACTTACGTAAAAATTAAAATCCGCTTTAATAAGAAATAATAAAATATACAATAACTACATTAAAAGTGCTTGATAAAAATGATTTTGTAAAAAGTTTTTATTGAATTATTATTTGCATTTCATCGAAACATAAAATATTTTAACTAAATAATACATTGAATACAAATTTTTCGAAATATTACATATTTAACGTTGTATATTTGCATGTTTTTAAAATTTTCATCAAAACGACTAATTCCATTCTTTTTTTTCGGTTTTTGTGTCCGATTTCGCAAACTTATTGTCTATCGTTTTATTTATTAATGTTTGTATCCTGATTGATTGTCTGTCCGACGTCGTTTGACAAGTGCTACCATTGTAACCTGTATAAAATACAATTGACATTATTCCACGTTTACCATAAATCTCAAACGACATAATCAATTTTTATTTTAATGCTCGATCAGGTCATATATGTATACACGAGGTCTGTCCGGAAAGTATCGAGCCTACAACTCCGCGCTGGCGTTCCGGTGCATGGCATCCTTCAAAGTAATCCCCATTTGATTGAAAAACACGGTTCCAGCGATGTTTCCACTTCTCAAAACAGTCTTAGAACTCACTTTTAGGGATGGCCTTGAGTTCTCTCGTCGCATTAATACTCTTAACCGTCGTTTTGTCAAATCGCTGTCCTTTGAGTGGTTTTTTCAGTTTTGGACACTTTCCGGACAGACCTCGTATGTTCATTAGAAGTTGTCAACGAGTACTTTCAAAAAAAAGACCACAAATTTTTTGTGCTACTTGAATTTTTATTATGATTTTTAAAAAGCATTGTTTGTACGAAATAAAAATCGCGAATGAGTTTGCATGTAAGTATACACACGTACTCCTATCATTATTACCATTTTGCAATGGAACCTTTTTATATTTACTAAGTCGTAAATCCAAGATTTAATCGTTATCCCACCCCTAATATTCAATAAAATTGGACATGAGCCTTATATTTATTACTGTGACAATTTCTGTGGTAAAATTAATTAAAGGTAATCACAATCAAATTATCTTAACACAATAAATAACGCAAAAAAAAAAAAAAAAAAAAAAAAAAAAAAAAAAAAAAAAAAAAAAAAAAAA